TATATATATATGACCTACCCAAATTGAATCAATAAAATACAGAAAACTTAAGCAGACTGAGAGCAAGTAATGAGATTGAAGAAGCAAATAAAAATCTTCTAACAACAACAACAGCAAAAATCACATCTGGTGCACTGGTTAATGCGCCTGTAATTCCAGTGGCTCTGGAGGCTGAGACAGGAAAATCGTGAGTTCAAAGTCAGCCTCAGCAAAAGCCAAGCACTAAGTAACACAGCGAGACCCTGTTTCTAAAAAAAATACAAAATAGGACTGGGGATGTGACTCAGTGGCCAAGTGCCCCTGACTTCAATCCCTGGTACCCCAAAAAACAGCAACAACAAAACCACAGGAATAGATGGATTCTCAGTTAAATTCTGAAAGGCTTTTAGAGATGAGCTGCTGCCAATCCTCCTTAATTATTCCATGAAATGTAAAAAGAAGGTATATGTACACACAATGAAGTTTTTGTTTTAAAATTTTTCTTTATTTATTTATATGCGGTGCTGAGAATCGAACCCAGTGCCTCACGTGGGAGAGACAAGTACTCTACCACTGAGCCACAGCCCAAGCTCCACACAATGAAGTTTTATTCAGCCATAATGAAGAATGAAATTATGTCAATTTCTCATAAATATAAGAAATTAAAAAATATCTTATTAAGTAAAATAAGCCAGATTGTCAAAGACAAGGGTATAATCTTTTTTTTTTTTTTTGTCTTATATGGAGTAGCTAGAGAGATTAGGGATTTTGAAAAAGTAAATCTAATAAAAATAGAAGGGAGAACACTAGAGTAGGAAGAGTATCAAGGGGTAGTGAAGAGGCCATGGAAAGGGAAGAATTGAGGAATGAAATTGAAAAAATTATGTTATGCACATATATGAGTATATCACAATGCATTACAATTTTATATATTGCAGAATTTAAAACTAAATTAATAGAAGGAAGACCATTAGGTAGAGGATGAGGGCCAGGGGGGAAGGTAGGAGGGGTGGAATTGAAATAGAACATATTATGTTATATGCATTTATGAATATGTCAAAATAAACCACACAATTGTGTAAAAATATAATGCCCTAAAAAATAAAGAAAAAAAGTAAGAGATTTTATAAAACTGAGGAAATTTCATACGTAGTCATACCACAGTACAATAGAAAACCTAACTAAAAATAGTTTGGCAGGAGCCAATAAAGAAGTACTTCCTGGATAGAATTCTTAAAATATTCCAAGAAACTAAAATTACACATCTTTGTGCCAACATTATATAAAAATACATCCCAAAATTAAAATAAGAATAATAAAGAAACTTTGAGGATAAACCAAGTATAAGGTTTCTGTGTCTCCTAATCTAACCATATTTTGTAGGATTACATTTCTTTTCATTACAGCATAACTACCATACCTGAAGACAGTGATTCTATACTGTTAGAATCACAACCTGTTTATGGGTACAGGTGACATATATACTGAATGTTCTTTTAATTGTCCATATGTATCTTCCAGTTGAGTTTTTTAATTGTGTTAAGATATACCCTAGTGTCCCTACACAAATTTGTATAATGAAACTTAGAGCAAGAAAAAAGTAAAACTTTTACCTTGCATAAAAGAGTATTCAGTGATCCATCTCTGTGTCTTTTATTCACAAATTGTGTAGATTATATGACTTGGAGTCATATAATTCAATTGTATTCAGGTTAACTGTCATAATATAAATTCACAGGTGGATTTGACCCAGCTATTCCCCTTCTCGGTCTATTCCCTAAAGACCTAATAAGAGCATGCTACAGGGACACTGCTACATCGATGTTCATAGCAGCACAATTCA